TCTGGTTTTGGCCCCGTGACTGCCCAAAATGGGTGAAGTGTGCGGTGATTCTAAGATCGACGGCACTCATCTGCATGTCATACTGACTGACAGTATTATTTCTCTTCCCCAGCAGACTCCAAGGGCATTTAAACAGCGAATATATTCGGCTCGAAGCGAATTTATTCGGCGAATTCGGCGAATCAGCCGAACCAAATTTTTGAATAATTCGCTCATCTCTACATATGATAATATGTAAAAGTTATATAATATGGTGTGCCTCCTATACCAATCTACAAACGTGCTAAAATTCCAAAAATCTAATATATAATATTAATAAATAAATACATAAATGTGATAAAGTGAATCTGTGCTAGAAATCCACATGATTCAGAAAACTTCATATATATATACATCAATGTGCCTCTCCTCTTTATTCCTCCATATTTTTTGGTTTTCATGAAAAGAAATATATGCCTTATCCTTTGTAGAATAAATTTATTAAGGTTTCAAAAAAATGCGCACTCACATTTAATATAAATAAATATCTCTTTATATAAAAAATAATGCCTCAGTGTGTGCTCATACACACTGTCTATACTCGCCGTTGTGCAGATCTAGATAGCGTTGTGACGTCAGAGCCCCTCCCCTACGCGTTACGCCACCAGGTCATGTGGCTACATCAGGGAGATTCTGAATAAAGGAGAGGTGGAGACCGCATACAGACCCCTGCAGGACGAGGGGAGAAAACCCTATCAATCCATCCTACACGTAGGCTCACTGAGTCCAGGAGACCCCCAGTGGGAGAAGGGTATCATTACAGTTTATCCACCACCATCTCTATACAAGATCTCAGTATGGAAAATACTATCTTGTCCAGATAAGGACAAAAAAGCTATTATAGCCTTACTTGGCGGTTTGGCTATAAGTGAGGTGAGCGCATAAATTTCTTAGCACAGCAAGATTTGCATCACAGAGTGGACTATATATTATTTAATTTATAATAATTACATTTTTTTTATAATTTTATTTTTTGGCATATAATCAATATATTTTTTTTTTTGCTCTAATTGCACAGTTAATTGCATTTTTATTCTAATTGCTACTGTTGCACATTGTTTGCACATTGAATATATTGATTATTTGGCAGATTGGTGTATATATATGAAGTTTTCTGAATCGTATGGATTTCTAGCACAGATTCACTTTATCACATTTATATATTTATTTATTAATATTATATATTAGATTTTTGGAATTTTAGCATGTTTGTAGATTGGTATAGGAGGCACACCATATTATATAACTTTTACATATTATCATATGGTGTTATTGAATTCAATTTAAAGTTTTAAGTAAATAGGTGGAGCGCGACACATATTTAATTTATTATTAAAGATCTACCTAAACTAAAAATGTCCTGTACTCCTTTAGCTGTATTTACTTACTGGTTCTCCTAGTGGCTACTGTACCTTTAAAAAGTATGTTTTGGTAGCTGCTTGACCCCGGCACTATAAGCCTAATGCTTACTCTATTGTATCTCTTTTGTTTTGTATTTTGGTTCTATGCCTTGTATTGAGAGTTAAAATTAATAAAAAAAAGATGCTTAAAAAAAAAATCTTTTGCCAATAATTTAGTCAATATAAGGTGAACTTTTTTCTGTAATGGCAAGATAATCACAGTTTTAATTATGAATATTTCATCCAGGGGCTGGTTCTCTATGCTAATAAATATTCCAAATTAAAGAAGTACAGCCAAAGCTCATTTGGCTGTACTTCTCCTGTAGATCACAGTAGTGCAGTTCACTTTAGTCTGCTGTTGGCTGACATCACAGAGCCAGTACAGGCTGAGGAAGGACCACAGCCATATGGTCTGGATCCACCCAGGAGCCTGGCTCAGGTAGTAAATTCAGGAGACACATTTTTATTATATATCATATAAAAACACAGACAAATTATTCTGAAATATTTACACCAGTTTGATCTACTACACAAGTATATATATATTTTTATTACATATTTTACTATGCATTTCCATTGTTTACTTGTAACAGGGAAAGAAAAGAGCATATAATTTGTAAATTAACCATTCCAATATTCAGATTGAATTCTAAAACAGCATCAACCTTTGTATAACCCAACCTTTGTATAACCCCTTCAATTTTTTTACCTCCATTGACCCAGTCTTCCTAGCACGGGTTAGGGGAGACTTTCTGTGGATGCTGATTGCCTCACTCGGTAGTGGTGACATCAGTATGGATCGGTCAACGTCATCTGTGCCTTTCACCCTAGACAAGTCTTCCAGACTACCCTGGTCTGTCTTTTTATCTTCACTCTATTGATAACAAGGTAAGAAAAAAAACAAAATGTAGTAAGGTAAAAACTGCATTGTGTCCATGACAGTAGGTATAGGAACACATGTACAACAAAAGTCAGACTGTCCCTGAAAAATAAAAGTGTGTCACTGACTTCACAGAAGACACATTAATATGCCCGTTGCCAGGAATGGACTCAGCATTGGTGGTGGGACTCGCCTGCCGTGTGGGCTGCAGTACCAGAGCTGACCAGCGGGTGCTCTCAGCAATGGACTCAGCACTGGTGGTGGGACTTACCTGCCGTGTGGGCTGCAGTACCAGAGCTGATCAGCGGGTGCTCTTAGCAGCCAGAAGCTCACAATCAGCCAAACCTGGGGCTGATTACAGAAAGGTGTATATAAGGCATGACCAGGCCTGTGCTCGGGGCCTTGGTGTATGTTTTCCCATGAGCCTCTGTACCTGTATCCTGTGTTCCTGTTTCGTTGCTGACCCGGCTTGATCCTGATCTCTGTTGACCGTCTCTTGTTCTGACTACTGGCTCATCCCTGACTATTCTTCTGCCTACTCCTATGCTGTTTGACCTCCTGTTGCTGTACCTTGGCTTGTGACCCGTTTACTCTTTGCCTGCTGCTCTGTACTGATCTGCCTCCACCGTTACCGACCCGGCTTGTCTGACCACGCTAACTACTCTGCCATCCATCCATCCTGCACGGATCCAGCCGTACCTGCACATACCTCTGGCGGATCCCTCTACCACTAGCAGGTGTACTCAGGGGCCGCGACCTGGTCTCAGTCCTGCGCCAAGTCCATCCCCACCATCAGGGGCTCTGGTGAAAAGGCAGACTGGGGCTTAGACTCCGCGCCCTGGGGAATCCTGCCCTGAGGACCGCTAGAGGTACCACCAGGCAGTCGTTACAGAACCCTACGGCCGGCCTGACCATTCCACCTCTCCAGCCCTGACTACGCCTGTGTTCCTGCACCTCCTAAGATTAGTGAAAGGTTAGTTTGTTCACTGTGCCTTTATATATATATATATATATATATATATATATATATATATATATATATATATATATATATATATATATATATATATATATATATATATATATATATATATATATATATATATCTGGGTGGCTAATAATAAACTGTATTATATTGTACCTGAGACCTGCGTTTCCCTGTGTCAGTCCACGCCTTTCTGGTCATTCCTAGATTCCTGACACCTGTGCACCCTTTATTTTAAATATTCTTTCTATGCACCCTATGGATCCATGAACAAGGGGTGGGATACATCATTTGAAGCCCAAAGTTGAGCTGTAATACAGTCACTGGATTTCACAATTCAAAGTGGATGCCTCCCTAGAGCTCAGTCTGACAGGCATATTCTTTGAAGTGAGGGAAGAAGAGGCTTGCCACAGCTCTCTATTGGCTGCAAGTCCATATTTGCATATAGTATGTATCTGGCTTTAGGAGGCCCCTAGGGTGTGCAGGAGAAGTTAGTGAAAAAAACAATGGTATGTACAAGCAACTTAACTGGCTGTTATGCCAGTACATTTTTTTCTGGAGCTTTAATTCTAAATGACAGGTTTAATAGTACAAGCCAATCTTGATATTGAAAAATGCCTGCATTTTATGTGATTATCCAGGAACAATTGAGCACTGTTTGTGATACTTTTTTTATTTGCACTAACATACATTTTTGAGGACAAGCTTTTGGGGAATGTCCCCTTCTTCAGGTCTAAGCAGACATGCTTAGACCTGAAGGAGGGACATTCTCCGAAAGCTTGTCCTCAAAATTGTATGTTCGTGCAAATAAAAAAAGTATCACAGACAGTGCTCAATTGTTCCTGTCGCAAATGCACTAATATGGCTACAATCACCTCAAGCAAAATGTGATTATCCAAAAAGGATTAGAGTGAAGATCTGCCCCCCTAGACCTGTTACTACAGTCTAAAAGTAAAAGTGACTGTTGCCATTATATGTTAAAACATACTGTTCTGTGTTAAAGGAAAAGTTCACCTTTTAGGGAAAATAATAAATGCTCATATTTTTGCAAAAAAAATAAATTAAAAAAACATTTGTGCATTTATTATTACTTTCCCCAAGGAGCCTGCAAAGCATTACACCCATGATCAGTGCATCTTTCAGCCCGTACCGCCATACGGGCTGTCAGTTTGAAAGCTGCAAAGCTTGTGAATTAACTACAAGGGCGCTCACCATAGTTACTGCACTACATTGAAACTACAAGCCATCAGTTGCAGTGGCAGATGGGACTTGTGATTTATTCATTCATAGAGCACTGTGAATGAATGACATGGCTGTGTTGGTGGAGCCTTGTATAGCCATGCTATTTTTTAAATGTGAAAGCGGGTGCAGGGAGAAGTACCCCCACCCGCTGACACAGGAGGGGGGGGGGGGTCAGAGGGGTGTGGGGGGACTGTTGAAGCATGTTACACCCTACATATGTGTGTAACATGCTCCAAAGGTGAACAAACAAAACAGTATAGCATTAAATAAAGGCACTGAACTACAATAGTTTTTCCGTAGCCTACAATGCACCATAGCTATTTATAGAAATGTGTATCTGCCTACTTCAGCTGAAGCTGGTCGAAATCCAAATCCCAGGGGGGCCTTTTCATCTTCCTCACAGCCTTTGACTCCTGGACTGAAATGCAGCTCTACATGAAATCTCTCTTCTGAAGATGGGTCCTGCAATCCAGAAGAACAGAAACAAATAACTATACACTCACCATACCAGCAAAGCAGTTATTACACAAAATGTGTGTTGGATTTAAGTCTGGTCATAATAGTAATCAGGGCAAATGACCAAAGGGGGCAATGGGCTAGGAAATCATTTTAAAGACTGCTGAAGCTGTACATGAAAAATGGCTTTTGGCTAGTCAAATACACTTGTTACTGTGCATTGGATCACTCGTGCAGCCAGGGGGTAGTAAAACCAGGTGGTTAAACTGTGCTTTTTGCACCACCCCCCTCCAACACTGCCCACCCAACCACCACCATACAATTTTTGTAGCCAAGATCTGCTATCTGTCTGAATACCATCTTTTTTGTGGTAAAGATTAATGTGATTCTAAAGGATATTTTTTTTTCAAACAACAAACAAACATGCTATACTTACCAGCTCTGTGAAATGGTTTAGCTCCCCCCCCAACGGAGAACCCCCATAGCAAACCGCCTGCTATGGGGGTACCCATGCAGGCTTGTTCCTAAGCAGCGCTCTGTGTCCATTGACCCACAGAGTGCAGCTCAGCCCAGCCAACTGCCTTGTCCTCACTGGCTGTGATTGACAGCGGCAGGAGACAATGACTCCCTGCTGCTGCCGCCTCACTGTCCAGAGAGGAGAGAGAGAGAAAGCCAAGAGAGACACTGCTCTTGTGCACAGCACTGGAATGAGATTGAGCTCAAGTAAGCATTGGGGAAAGGGGCTGCACAGAGGTGTTTTTTTACCTTAATGCATTGAGATAAACCTTTTACGTCTATGAACGCAGGCAGTGCGGCTTGGGATCGATCCCGCAGGTGTGCCACAATAGGAAACGTCACCAAGGCAAAACACATTATATCTAACATATAAAGATTTTATTTTGAATGATGGCCATTTCTTGTTTAGGGATCCTGCTGAACCATGAAGGTGAGGAAATGGACCATCTATCTAGATCTGCCAAAAATAGTTTTTCTGAAATAACATATATAAAGAGCTTGTTAACTCTTTATATGTTGAGAATAGGCGTGAGCAGAGAATATAAAAATGTACAGGAGAACGCCATCTGTAAAAAGGGCACTATTATACATTATGATCCTATTGGCCACATTTCACTCCTTTTATAGTGGATTGAGACCTAGCAGCCATAGCAAGGGGCTCTATCACCAGCATAAACAATAATGACAATTTTGCATAGTTGAGAGTGTTGCAAAAAATTGTTAATGGCAGCTGTTAGTCCCAAACCCCTTGGACAGAGTCAAATATCCCCAGTAAATGAAGCAAGCATGGAGCCTTAAGATGGGAAGAAACTGTATAAAAATACACGGTTTGACAATCTCCCCGGCAGAACGATGCATCGCAAAAAATTAGAATATCATCAAAAAAGTAATTTAATTCAGTAATTCAATTCAAAAAGTGAAACTCATATTATACAGATTCATTACACAGGGTAATATATTTCAAGCATTTCTTCCTTTTCATTTTAATGATTATGGCTTACAGCTAGTGAAAACCCAAAATTCAGTATCTCAGAAAATTAGAATACTGTAAAAAAGTTCAATATTGTAGACTCATTGTGTCACACTCTAATCAGCTAATAACCTCAAAAACACCTGTAAAGGTTTCCTGAGCCTTTAAATGGTCTCTCAGTCTGGTTCAGTAGGTTACACAATCATAGGGAAGACTGCTGACTTGACAGTTGTCCAGAAGACAGTCACTGACACCCTCCACAAGGAGGGTAAGTCACAAAAGGTAATTGGTAAATAAGCTGGCTGTTCACAGAGTGCTATATCCAAGCATAAAGCAAAGTTGAGTTGAAGGAAAAAGTGTGGTATAAAAAGGTGCACGAGCAACATGGATAACCAGCCTTGAGAGGATTATGAAGCAAAGGCCATCCAAGAATTTGGGGGAGATTCACAAGGAGTAAACTACAACTGGTGTCAGTGCTTCAAAAACCACCACACACATACGTATGCAGGACATGGGCTACAACTGTCCCATTTCTTGCGTGAAGCCACTCTTGAACCAGAGACAACGTCAGAAGCGTCTTACCAGGGATAAGGAGAAAAAGGACTGGACTGTTGCTCAGTGGTCCAAAGTAAATTTTGCATTTCATTTGGAAATCAAGGTCCCAGAGTCTGGAGGAAGAGTGGAGAGGCACAGAATCCAAGCTGCATGAGGTCCAGCATGAAGTTTCTACAGTCAGTAATGAGTTGGAGAGCCATGTCATCTGCAGGTGTTGGTCCACTGTGTTTTATCAAGTCCAAAGTCAGCACAGCCCTCTTCTAGGAAATTCTAGAAGACTTTGTGCTTCCCTCTGCTGACCAGTTTTATGGAGATGCTGATTTCTTTATCCTGTAGGACTTGGCACCTGCCCAAGCTGCCAAAAGTACCAATACCTCGTTTATTGATCATGGTATCACTATGCTTGATTGGCTAGACCTGACCTAAACCCCATAGAGAATCTGTGGGGTATTGTCAAGAGGAAGATGAGAGAGACCAGATGAGCTGAAGGCCACTATCAAAGCAACTTGGCCGTCCATAACACCTCAGCAGTGCCACAGGCTGATCGCCTCCATGCCACACCGTATTGATGCAGTAATTCAAGCAAAATCCCCGACCAAGTGCAACACATATACACTATATTGCTAAAGTATTGGGACGCCTGCCTTTACATGCACATGAACCTTAATGGGATCCCAGTATTAGTCCACAGGGTTCAATATTGAGTTGGCCCACCCTTTGCAGCTATAATAGCTTCAACTCTTCTGGGAAGGCTGTCCACAAGGTTTAGGAGTGTGTCCATGGGAATGTTTGACCATTCTTCCAGAAGTGCATTTGTGAGGTTAGGCAATGATGTCAGACAAGAAGGCCTGACTCACAGTCTCCGCTCTAATTCATCCCAAAGGTGTTCTATTGGGTTGAGGTTAGGACTCTGTGCAGGCCAGTCAAGTTCCTCCACCCCAAACTCACTCATCCATGTCTTTATGGACCTTGCTTTGTGCAGTGGTGTGCAGTCATGTTGGAACAGGAAGGGGCCATCCCCAAACTGTTCCCACAAAGTTGGGAGCATGAAATTGTCCAAAATGTCTTGGTATGCTGACGTTTTAAGAGACAAGCGTGATTTGTCACTCCAGAGAACACATCTCCAACTACAAGACATTTAGATATTAAGACATTCCACAGTAGTCCAACTGTGGGGGTGGGCAACACAGGAAACACACTAACATGTCCAAAAACAACAAAAACTGGCGGATGCACAGGCTTGAACATCCACCTGTGAATGGAAGACCAAGTGACAGCCTTGCAAATCAGGGAAACTGATGCTGATACTAAAAAAAAACAAAAAAAAAAAAAAAACAACAACAACTGATCTAGTAGAATGTGCTTTGAAAGAAAACGGTGGAAACATTTCCTTAAACAGACAGGCTTGAATGATGAGCTACCTAAGCCACCAAGAAATTGTGTAATAGTTGGCACTTTGACCCCTAAAGAGCCCCTCTGAAATGACAAAGAGGAAATATAAAATAGGATGTGCAGAGAGAATAACTTTATCCCTTGGGACCAGGGCATTAACAGCCATACCATTTAAACCAGGGACTATGTGCAAGGTGATAAACCACTCACAAGAGATCTGGATGGTTTGTTACAGCCTATAAAAAGTCTGCCAGGAGTCTGATGAGGTTGGAGTATCACATTCGCCTGGGCCAGTTTGGTACGATGAGAGCTACCAGAGTGCCCTTCATCACAACCTTGATGGACAGGCAAGGAAGAGCTTCAAAGGAGGAAAGGCATAGAGCATGATAAACTGATCCTTTAGGGTTTCCAGAGTATCCACTGCTAGGAACAGAGGATCCCTGAATTTGGAGACACACTTGCCCAGCTTGTTTTTGAATCTGGAAGCCAGGAAGTCCACATCTGTTGGTCTCAACCTGCGGTAGAGGTCCTGGAACACCCCTGGGTGAAGACGCTATTCTCCTGGGTCCAGAAACACTGCTGACTGAAGAAGCCTGCCTGACATTTTTCCCAGACCTAAAATGCGCATGGCAGATAGTTCTGCCAAAATCAGACTCTGGTTGGCTTTCCTTAGAGCTGTGAGACTTCTGGGTTCTCTCTGATGATTGATTTGTGACACTGCTATGACACTGACTGAATCCAGATTGAATTGTGTCATTGTCCCTACACAATAATATGCTTGAAACCCCTGTATTCTGATTTACGTATTCCTGGAAGCAATCTTTTGCAGAAATGTTTTCACAGTCGCGAAAAAGTATTCCATGGATAACGCAAAGGAAGGTGCCATGGCAGACAGAGCCAATGAACACCTCAGGGAAAAGTGATCCAGGCTGTCAGGTCCTAAAGTAGAAATGATGCAAGCCACCCTGTAACAGTTAGTGGATCAAGACCTAGGCAGGCCCACAGGATCAAACATATTACTAGCATGTAAGTTAGCTAAATCAATAAGGGTACTTAAAAAAACATAGCTGCAGGAACAAAATAGGTCAGGAATCCTGAGACCAAGTCACTGTAGGTAGCAGACATGGATGCACACACACTAATGTGGCACATGCAACATATTTTAAAAAAGTGTTGCAGCTATGTTCCCCAAAGTGCTTGCAACACATTGTGTCACAACACTGTACTCCTAGCTTCTGCCCCGCAGATTTGCTGAAAACTGAAAAGCACACTTCAATGAGTTTTGCAACACAGTAAAAACAATTGCTGCAGCAGTCCCATAAAGTTCTTGTAACACTGGACTGTAGCTAAAGCAAATATTAACCCACAAGGTTAACTTGGGAGGACACATGCCAGGTTTCCAGAAAGAGGTAGGGGGCAACCCCTGCCAAAGGTCACCCACTTGATCTTCATATTAATGAAACCAAGTAAATATGAAATAACAATTATATTATTGTGTATTGCTGTATCACTTCTGAACAGGTAAGACATAAGTGGCTCCTGCATTTTAACAGCCATAAATTGCTGTTAAATACAGCAGGGGAGCAGCAAAAGCAGAGAGACAGAGAAAGCTACATATGCCAAAGTGTACCTCAGTCTCAAATTTTCTGGCCATACATATCACACCTAATGTCTGAAAAACGTTAATGCTAGTCCCTGCTGTCACTGCTTTGTAGCTAATAAAAAACTTTAATATGGATGTCCGTATCTATATTTATTGATTAAAGGTATAGGTATAAGGAATAGGGCCGACAATTTACAGTGCCTTGAAAAAGTATTCATATCCCTTGAAATTTTCCATGCTTTGTCATGTTACAGCCAAACGTGTATATGTATTTTATTGGGATTTTATGTGATATACCAACACAAACTGGCACATAATTGTGAAGTGGAAGGAAAAAGATATATGGTTTTCAAAATTTTATACAAATAAATATCTGAAAAGTGTGGCGTGCACTTTTATTCAGCCCTTTACTTTGATACCCTTAACTAAAATCTAGTGGAACCAATTGCCTTCGGAAGTCACCTAATTAGTAAATAAGAGTCCACCTGTGTGTAATTTAATCTCAGTATAAATACAGCTGTTCTGTGAAGCCCTCAGAGGTTTGTTAGTGAACAAACAACATCATTAAGGCCAAAGAACACATCAGACAGGCCAGGGACAAAGTTGTGGAGAAGTTAAAAGCAGGGTTAGGTTTAAAAAAAAAAATATTTGAACCTCTCACAGAGCACTGTTCAATCCATCATTGCAAATGGAAAGGAGTATGGCACAACTGAAAACCTACCAAGACATGGCCGTCCACCTAAACTGACAGGCCGGGCAAGGACTATTAATCAGAGAAGCAACCAGGAGGCCCATGGTAACTCTAGTGGAGATGCAGAAATCCACAGCTCAGGTGGGAGAATCTATCCACAGGACAACTATTAGTTGTGCACTCCACAAATCTGGCCTTTATGGAAGAGTGGCAAGAAGAAAGCCATTGTTGCAAGAAAGCCATAAGAAGTCCCGTTTGCACTTTGTGAGAAGCCATGTGGAGGACACAGCAAACATGTAGAAGAAGGTGCTCTGGTCAGATGAGACCAAAATTGAACTTTTTGACCTAAAAGCAAAAACGCTATGTGTGATGGAAAACGAACACTGCACATCACCCTGAAAACACCATCCCCACCGTGAAACATGGTGGTGGCAGCATCATGTTGTGGGGATGCTTTTCTTCAGTAGGGACAGGGAAGCTGGTCAGAGTTGATGGGAAGATAGATGGAGCCAAATACGTAAACCTGCTAGAGTCTGCAAAAGACTTTAAACTGGGGCGGAGGTTCACCTTCCAGCAGGATAACGACCCTGAACATACAAACAGAGCTACAATGGAATGGGTTAGATCAAAGCATATTCATGTGTTAGAATGGCCCAGTCAAAGTCCAGACCTAAATCCAATTGAGAATCTGTAGAAAGACTTGAAAATTTCTGTTCACAGACGCTCTCCATCCAATCTGACAGCTTGAGCTATTTTGCAAAGAAGAATGAACACAAATTTCAGTCTCTAGATGTGCAACGCTGGTAGAGACATCCCCAAAAAGACTTGCGGCTGTAATTGCAGTGAAGGAGGTTCTACAAAGTATTGACTCAGGGGGGCCGAATACAAATGCACGCCACACTTTTCAGATATTTGTAAAAAATTTTCAAAATCATTTATTATTTTCCTTCCACTTCACAATTATGTGCCACTTTGTGTTGGTCTATCACATAAAATCCCAATAAAATACATTTACGTTTGTGGTCGTAACATGACAAAATGTGGAATATTTCAAGGGGTATGAACACTTTTTCAAGACACTGCACGCAACGCTTTACATGTATATTGTACATTAACAGAAGTCCCTGTCTTCAAGGAGCTTACAATATAAGGTTCCTAACTCACATTCATACATACATACACTAGGGCCAATTTAGACAGAAGCCAATGAACCTATCAGCATGTCTTTAGAGTGCGGGAGGAAAACAGAGTACCCGGATGAAATCCACGCAGGCACATGGAGAACATGCAAACTTCAGGCAGGTAGTGCTGTGGTTGATATTCGAACCAACGACCCTAGTGCTGCCAGGCAGAAGTGCTAACCACTTAGCCACCGATTGTTTCCTTGAGTAAAATAACTTCACATACAATTTTTTTTTTTAATAAGAAACACATCCAGTACCTTTTAAAAATCTATTCCTCATTCTATCATTACTGCAAATGCACTTAAAGCAAATCACTAAATATACAGTAAAATTACACAAATATGAATTTCATATAACCAAAATGCTTCAATATTTGTTTAGTCAGTCTTAGATCCGCTAACCTATCAAAGCATTTCTCATTTAACCTCATGGCTTCCTTTTCTGTTTTTCCACCTACAGCATGTCTACTGAAAAATAATGATGATCATCATCTCAAGAAGCACGAAGTTGACATAGTAAGGCAAATGTCACACCAGCCATCCTCCCTCTAGTAAGAATGTAAAGATCTCTAAAATGTGCACGGAAAACACTTCGGCTACAATTCATATGGGAGTTAATTTGCGAATAGTTTGCTGTGTTTAGAAACAACTAAATGCTGCCTCTGGATGAAGCACCAATGTTTGCTAAAGTCGTATACAGGCTGGACGATTACCTGAAGCGAGTGTGTGTGCAGCCAAAACTCAGTAGAAACGCCAACCCTAGACGCACACTGGCTGCATCCAGGATTGCTATTTGCATGGAACCGCTTGGATGATACTTGAAACAAACTACCTACCATGAAGCACAGGAGGAACTTGGGTAGCAACAATTGAACCATGAATGTCACAGACCGCAAGCTTCATTACTCGAGAGACAAGATGTGTATGGCACGCACCTGCTCCAAGACGAGCCTGTAAAGTTCCAAAGCCACTCAAAGTAATTGGGTGCTGGCTTGGTCCACAGCTGAGATTAATCAGTGTAAGAAATAGAGGTAGCGGCACTCCAGCATAATGAAAAATAAGCTTCTTTATTCATGCAATACAGGTAGAAAACACAAAAACACAACTCCCAGACAGACAGTTAACACGTTTCACACATCAGTGCTTGTTTGTTACCACTGAACAAGCACTGCTGTGTGAAACATGTTAACTGGCTGTCCTGGAGCCGTGTTTTTGTGTTTTTTTCCTGTATGGAATTAATAGAGAAGCCTATTTTTGTTGCCCTGGGGTGCCGCTACCTCTATTTCTTACATTCATTACTTTGATCCTAACACAGCTACATTGAAAAAAATGTTAACAGCTTTATCATGTTTTGTTATGAGCTCACCTTATTGTTGTCCTCGTACAGCATGATCACAATTTGTGTCATGTAGTTCAGCTCTGACACAGCACATAAATAATCCATTGCTCTTTTCCACTGCTGATCTTTAGACTCCTAGAAATACAAAGCATCAGACCATTGATAAGAATGCATTATATATGACCTAGATTAATATGCCATGGTTATAGGGTTTTCTATGATAATTAGATCTAACTTGGCCAACTAAGCACAGTCTGATTTACAGTATATTGAGTATCCACAGTACTTAATCTGTCAGCCAAACAGAGAATAATATAATTCTGAGATCTACTAGGTCTGCTAGAGCCTGCAGGAGTAACCATTTAGTTATAGCGTTCCCATCTCAATGGGGGTATTTGTCGGAGTTTTTCCCCAAGAAGTGCACTATGGCACAAGCAAACACCTGATGGGAAATTCTAAAGAAGCCTGTTATTCTGTTTATGTATTGTAAAGCCAGAATTGGTGGATCAGGTAACTACATTTCAGGCAAGAGAAAAGCCAATAGGGAGGTAGAGATTGAAGAAGAATGCTGAAGGCTTAGTAGGCCCTATGTATCAGTTCAAATTGAATTTCTTGTCAGGACTCCCCCACCACCACCCAGCTCTAGTGGTATCAACCTTGTGGTATGTTCTACATTTGAGTATATAGTATTAAATGATAGAGTGCATTGGCCAGCCTGCTAAAGAGTGTGTATAAATAAGGGAGATCTGAGATGGAGTTGATAGCAGGTGATTGGAGTATCTGGTGCAATTCTTCTGGTTTTGTGTAGTAGGTAGCTGGTGAGGATGTAGTGGACTTGTTTGTATCGAAATAGTGGCCCAGATGCATTTTAGTGCAATTTTGTAAAAGTTAAGCACATGCCCTGCAAATACAATAGATCCTGCAGAATACAGATTCCTCGATCCTGCCAAAATCTAAGACCCCACTCAGCCATTTTATGTGGCCTACCACTTCGTGGCTGAGTTGTTGTTGTTCCCAGTTGCTTCCACTTTGTTACAATACCATTAAAAGCTGACCGTAGAATATTTAGTAGCAAGGAAATTTCATGGATGGACTTATTGCACAGGTGACAACCTATCAAGGTACCACGTTTGAATTCACTGAGCTCCTGAGAGCGACCCAGTCTTTCACAAATGTTTGTAGAAGCAGTCTGCATGCCTAGGTGCTTGATTTTATACACCTGTGTCCATGGAGGTGATTGGAACACCTGAATCCAATCATTCGGAGGGGTGTTCCAATACTTTTGCAAATATATTGTATCTGAAAATACTTGCCAAGTCATACAATCTGATTTTGTATAATGGACTATAGTTGTAAGCTAGGATATTGTAGTTTTTTTTTTAATCCCTTTATGACCTGGGGGTCAAAACAAACCTTAACCACCTCCCGTCCGGCCGTTGTATATAAACGGCCAGACGGTGGCAGTGCAGGGTCGGGTGGCCGTTAAAAAACGGCCTCCCCACACCCTGCTTTTGCGCACTCCCTGGGAGCATGCAGCACATCAATACGGTGCCCACTGTGTCCTCCAGACACAGTGGAAACCCGATTGTCATACGGGTCCTCTGTGCGAGGTCCTGATTGCATGTGATCACTGATTGGCCAATCAGTGATCACATGCACAGTAATTAGCAAGATGTCACTTCTGACATCATTGCTTACTACGTGGGAAATCTGTGAATGATCACAGAGGTCACATGGTACAAGGCCATTCCCAATAGCCTTGTACCATATGACAAGCTGTGACCAATCACAGCTCACACAGTAGTTCTCAAGGGCTGCAAGAATGCAGCCAGAGATAAGGAGAAATGATTGATTTTACAGCCTTTATGGGTGTAAAAGCAATCAGAAAAAAAAAAAAAAAAAAAAAAATCTTCATCACCCCCCACAAATAGTACAGTGACACACTGTACTGCTAGGGTGACAGTATGTTAAAAAAAACAAAACAAATAATATAAAAAAAAATAAATAAAAATGTAAAAAAAAAAAAAGTTTAAAACTTATAATTTTTGGTTATAAACTAATTTGGGTTACTTTTTTTTTTTACTAAAAAGATAACGGAATACATTTTGGCCAAGATTTACGATGAAATATTATTTATTTGCAAAATTTTATAAGAAAAAACACTTTTTTTCAAAATTTTTGGACTTTTTCATTTACATAGCAAAAAAAATTAAAATCCCAGTGGTGAATAAATACCACCAAAATAAGCTTTAACGGTCTCAAAAAAATGCTAAAAAATTCATATGGGTACAGTGTTGCATGACCGCACAATTGTCATTCAAAGTGCGATAGCACTGAAAGCTGAAAATTGGCCTGGACAGGAAGGGGGTGAAAGTGTTTGGACTTGAAGTGGTTAAAGCCCAATTTTGCAACTTTGACCTGTGTTAGTATAAATATCATTGCAACTTTCTAGTGTATCCAGGTGGATTATACATTGTTATGTTCATAACATATTGGGCTTTGATTTGGTGGTAAAATTGTACTGGATATTTCTTGATTTTGTTTTATTACGAAAGGAAAACTGGCCCAAGATAGCAACCAAAAAAAATAATTTGTTAAAATTTAGCTGTAAATTGTAAATACCATTACCACGTATCACAAAAAAAAAGATGAGTTCTTGCTGGAAAAAATATTTTACATTTATAAACAGTACAGTGTCTGGGATTAAAAATACCGTTCCAGTCTTTGCAGATGACATCAAGCTTTGCCGTGGAATAACGCCATTACAAGATACCTTCAACTTACAAGCCAACCTCAATGCACTGTTTAATTGTAGTGGTGCACTGAAATGAAAATTCTGGTGCCAAAACCGAAAATTCAGGATGCACTTGGCCAAAAACCGAAATGGACAGTTTTTAAAAAGTAATATATTTTTCAAACCAATTTAAAAAAAAATACACTTTGATGATAAAAAAAAAAAAAAAAAACACTATACCCCTATACGACGGGATCGTTTGGGGGTTTCTCAGTTAAGGCTGAGAACTACCAAGCGGCGGTGGGTGGGCGGCAGCGAGGGGTGGCAACGGCAAGGGGACGGGGTTATTTTTGGCACCTGTATCGGTGCTTATTTTCACATCGGCCAACAGCCAATACGGGTGTCTTCGACCGAAACATTTCAGCCACCGAAATTTCGCTGCACCCCTATTTAATTGGACAACTATGTGGCAAATGAGGTTTAATGTAGATACATGTAAGGCTATGCACTTGGGGGCTAAGAATATGCATGCATCATACATACTAGGGGGGTACAACTGGGGGACTCAATGGTGGAGAAGGATCTGGGAGTTCTGGTAGATCACAAGCTTAATAATGGCATGCAATGCCAAGCTGCGGTTTCTAAAGCGAGCAAAATCCTCTCTTGTATTAGGAGAGGTATAGACTCCAGAGAGAGAGATATCATATTACCCCGGTACAAATCATTAGTAAGAACTCATCTGGAATATGCAGTTCAGTTTTGGGCACCAATTCACAAAAAGAACATTGGGGAACTGGAGAAAGTACAGAGAAGGGCAACCAAACTGATAAGAGGCATGGAGGAGATCAGCTATGAGGAAAGATTAGAGGAACTGAATTTATTCTCTCTTGAGAAGAGGAGATTAAGGGGGGATATGATCAACATGTATAAATACATCAGTGGTTCATATAGTGAACTCGGTGTAGAGCTATTCACCCTGAGGTCATCACAGAGGACAAGGGGGCACGCTTTACGTCTAGAGGAAAAGAAATGTAATCTCCAAATATGGAAAGGTTTCATCACAGTAAGAGCTGTGAAAATGCGGGAAAGACTCCCTCAAGAGTTGGCTCTGGCCAGCTCAGTGGATTGCTTTAAAAAAGGCCTGGATTCTTTCTTAGATATACACAATATAACTGGATACTAACATTTATAGGTAAAGTTGATCCAAGGAGGATTCGATTGCCTCTCTGGGGATGAGGAAGGACTTTTTTCCTCTGCAGGAACAAATTGGATCATGCTTTGCTTGGATTTTTTGTCTTCCTCTGGATCAGTTGTGGGTATAGGATTATAACTTTTTTTTTTTTTTTGGTTGAACTGGATGGACTTTTGTCTTTTTTCAGCCAGACCAACTATGTAACTATGCAAGTACAGCATGTGTGTTTATGAAACACAGAAGATTGAAAACATGCAAAATAGAAATAACTGGTTTAATTTATGAACATTTCAAGGTGGCATGAATGAAAGTGGAAGTAGTGCTCTTACTGGGCTGAAGTCTTTGGTATGCTTTCGGTTCTTTTGGGAACCCATATATCGTTAGACGCTACTATAGCACTGTTGAATAAAACATAGTCAAGATCTGACATCCGCACTATTACTAGATGTGTCTACGGCTTCCAAGCAGACCATAGCCAAAGCTTGGAAAAAGTCTACAATATGCATTCTGGAGACTAAACACAGAATGACACAATTCATGATATATAGTAAAATTGAGGCTACACTACTTGATTGTAAAATCTGGCAGCCATGGGTAGACCATTATTTACCCCACAATTTTGACCAATCATTGCTGGAACCATGCTCACCAATTGCAGCGCAGTTAAGCCTGTTTCTGGTTCTCAAGGCATTGGGCTCCTGCTGACCTGCGACACTCGGCAGTCCCCCACTTTTCCTTCTCTCTTCTCTAATTTTATTCTATCTTCTGTTTTGGTTATGCCCTAAACTGAAGGTTTAGTATCTATCGCTCTAAACGGAGAATCCTGGAGCCATTAAGCGTGTTGTGCCCTTCCTCGTATGCAAACTAAATCCATGATAAGCTTCCTTGTAAAAATCAAGTTTTAACATTCATAGTACAAATGGTACAACTTGTCAAAAAATCATTTTCATCTTGATATCAACGGAGTGTACTGAACTGTATTTTAGACTGCACATTGTTTAGGCCTGAACGCTGATGTGTTACTCTTGATAACATTTTTGAACAAGGAAAAGGGTCAGTGGTGGATCTGCACTTGGAATAAGCACCAGGAAAGGATTATTTGAGTCTGCATAGCAATAAATTTAACACGAGACAAAAATAAAATATTCTATGGCTTGTCAAAGAATTGCATAAATTTAAAATAATCTCAATGTATATAGTCTATATAATGTCACTTACATCTAAGAGTCCCCCATAACGAAAAATGCTCAGCAAGGAGTGTACATGACTCTCACTCGTAAAGTACAGCCGCGTCCTGACGTGACGACCCGGAGACAATACTCCTCTTGAATAGCTAAGAACCAAAGTCACAGAAGTTTACTGTTTAAACAGGCACATTATAAAGCATTTAATTGACATATAAACCACAAGAATCAAATCCCTGTTTCTCTAAAATATATTAAACACAGCTAAGGGCAAAGCCACTTCATGAGAGGGACTGTACTAGTCTTAGAGTTTTATACTACAGCAGCTGTCAGGCACCAGTTCAACTGGATAGGATATAATTTCTCAAACAACATCGTTTAACACAGATATACTACGTAACAAGGGCATGCCTTCTTAAGGCTCTGTTCACACTGTGTGCTTGTTGGTAACACATGCAAAATCAGGTGCTTTCCTGACACAGACAAGTGGCACCTTTGAGCAGATGTCGTGGTTCCATTAATTTTTAATGGAACCCTTGTGCATCTGCTAACACGCAAGCACAGAACAATTTTGCAAAAGGGTCAGGGACTTCTTTTGCACATTTGAAATGAATGGGCTGCCCCACACATGTGGGAAAACATGTGAAAACATGCATGCATGCTCTGCCACACCTGCATAGTGTGAATGGAGCCTAACAGTGGCTCACTTCTTGTTAGGTAGCCAACTAGCAAAATGTTTGTGCTTTACTGCTCCAACCATATCACTTCAAGTCTATTGGTCAATTTAGACCTTTTAGAGCAGATTCACAATGTGCGGTGCGGATTGAAGCTCAGGTTTCACAGCCAGTTAATACAGTAGCTGTTCACAGGTTCACATCAGGATCAGCTCAGGATCTAATCTTGTTCACACATATGCAGTAGAAGTTAAATAGCCTGTAATCTGCACCTGAACCTGAAGGCACTGCTCAGAAATCAGACATGATTCTTTTTAAGACTGCACTGAACCTGCATCGGCCCTGCACCAGACATATGTGAACAGGAACCATAGGAAGCAATAATATTTCACATGTCATGCGGATTGGATGAGGTTCAAACCACATCCAATCCACATATATGTGAACGGGCACTTAACTTCATTCCCTTCACAAGATTATTTAGCCTATAATTAAAGCATATGTAAACTTATGAGCTGCCACTGAACAGAGGGGAAATATTTAAAAGGGGACACATGTTCAAGTGGCAATGTCTCAAGACAGGATTTTCCATATATTTTAGAGAGATCACCTGTCACTTCCTTTTGTGTCTCAAGACAGAAGTGAAGAAAAATCTCCCCAAAAGGACACAGACAACCAAAAATAAACTAACATGGATTAAAAGAAAAATAAAAGTTTTAATTATTACTAGCATTGGTTTATTATGGATGTTTACAGTGCAGTCTCATGTACAAGCACTAGAGGGGTACAATGCGCAAACATATTGAAACAAAGTATTAAAAAATGTGACACGTAAAATCAAAAATACATTTCATACCAACTTTATATGAATACCATTACAATATGTGTACTTATGTTAAATGCAGGGACATTTCCCTTCAAGTACATAACAAATATATTTGCCGGAATACAGAATCAAGCACATTTAGAGTGCACACTACATAATGTAATGCAATATTAAATAGCTGATGAACAGAATACAGTAGTAACTAGGGTACATTATTATGATGGATCTTACAGCGGGTGCAGCTTGTTTACAGATTCATCCTCATGGGTTCTCTGCAAATCTAACTGGATCTTTTTAATGAGAGGAAGACAGTACCCAACTGCAATCTCCAGTTTCTCCTCTTTATTAATGCCATATTCCTGGAAGACAACCAGCCAGAGGAGATAATGAAATATACAGTAACCAAAATAATGCCTGATTTTTGTAAACAAGATTGTGACATTGGAGAGTAAATGTAAATTGCCAAATGCTTGAAATTTTAAATATATCGCTGTGTCTGTCATTTTTGTGCTACAAGCTAGAAAATTAACCAAATGAGTACTTAAAGTACTAAATGTATTCTTATTGAGCCGATCTCATTACCAAAAGGCGGACAACTTAAGCTGGCCATTGAGGTTTCAAAAAACAAAATGGAAAGGTTTTCCCCATCCACACATTGGGGGTGGATAAAGGAATGCTCTCTGCTGCACAATTGTATTGTGACAATGGAACTTCTGCATGCCAGAATACGATGATTAGCGCTGCAGCAGTGTTCCCCAGCCGATATGTTACATCCCATCTCTGGAGAGCAAGCCAGCTTCTTGTCTTGGGGTGGCAGCGGCCATCTTAACCATAAGCGTGAGTGTAAATCCATATGGGGTCACCTGGAAGTGGTCATACGTTTATCTGTTACTAATGGCACCAGCACCTGTTCACTTACCTTTTGTATTTTAAGCAACTTTTATTTGAATGGGACTTACTGATACAATGGACATTAGTTGTATTTTCTGGGGTTCATTTATTTATCTTTTGCACTTTTACATGTGGCAAACTGTTTACTAATCTTGATTTACATTTTTGGTAGTGCGGTCTACATACACATTGATAACATTTTCCAACAGTGCCATTCGAGAGGAGTTGATCACTAGATCTGCTGAACCAGCAAATTTTGATCCGTCTATGGCCAGCTTAAAGTGTTTGCATCCCTCTGAAAGACCTTTTACAATTTTTGACTTTTCAGAATCAGTTAAATGTCTTTTTTGGCCTACTTTGCCTGAGGAAAAGAAGATGGCTAAGAATTATGCAGACCTTGATATAGGGTGTTTATCTCCTTAGGCTACATCCTCCATCATTACAAATCACCAGATATGCTTAAATCCAATAAACATTCAAGTTTTATACAGCTTGTAGTTGGACAATATGCATAAAAAGTATAATTTGGTCAAAATACTCACTTGCCTAATAATTGTGCACACAGTGTGGGATTTAGTTACTAAACCTGGTTCACTTAGAATCTTGTGCACTTTTACAAGCAATCAGCTTACAGGTTTTATTGCTAAAGCTTAATTGAACAGGTTGAGGTTAGAAACTGAATGGCTACCGTGCACAGATGAACGAGATTCTGAGTGAACCAACTTTAGTAAATAAACCCCTGTATGTTCAGTTTGTGTCGTCAATATGTTTAATGGAAAATCACTTCCTCAGGACAAGAGTACTTAGGTGTATATTTCCATTAATACTTTAATGTGTAATCATAGTCCTAATCAAGGTTGCAAAAAAAGTCCTTCAATTTTAGGATGTTCCAACACATTCCCAGATCATTTTTGGCTCCCATGGGCAGCGGCATACCCACAGAGGGAAGATGTAGATCCAAGCCCAAAAGGGAATAGTTTTTCCACAAAATGTGTTGACAACACGAATTGAGCACTGAAAGTCTTTAGTGATTTATATTTCAGCTAAACATACCTGTCTAAGTAATCTGTGGTTGACATGTTTTGTGTAGATATTTCGTATGCAATCGTGAGCATTGAAGCCCCTTTCACACCTGAGTGTTTAGTAGCTTAAAGATCCAAAATGCTCAGCAATCCAATGTATTTCAATGGTGGCTGCCACGTGTGAGCGATCAGGTGGTTTCAGCTTCACACATAGGCATTTTTGGCCTCAATGATTTGGGACCAAATGACACCTGTAAACTTGCAAATCAAGAGTTTTTGCAAATTTTTTTTAGACATAATTGAGGCACTTTTTTAGCCAACTATAACATCACCCCCTAGAACTTCCCATTGTCTACAACAAAACACCTGAAGTATGAAATGCTTTAAATATGCTTGTATACGTGAGCAATAATGCTCAAATAAAAATGTCTAAAGACCGTTCTGCTCAGGTGTGACTGCAGCCTTATAGTTGATTTTGGAGATTGTTTTTGTACATATTTGCGTATTTTTTCAGGCTTATGAATCTCTGTCTTAGCCAATCGAAATTTAGTTACTAGGAAGAGAAGACTGTTGTTTAGGATTGAAAAATCCTCATTTTCAGGCACTCCTACGTGATAGGACCAAAAATACCCCATTCTGCTTCAAAAGTATCTCATGTACCTTATAAATCCTTAGGTATCGAGCTATAGGCACCTGAATACTCGTATGTGAACAGGCATAATTTCAAAGCAAGGAATTTTGGTTGTTGAGCATTTTGGAGCTACAAAGCACTCGTGTAAATGATGGCTTAAATACATTTCTCATGAAAAAAATATGGGTCTGTCATTGCTGGCTTACTTCTGAAAATGTTATCTGTCTATTATTTCTAGTCACTGGCATGAAATAATAATATATAGGAATTGAAGTAAAGAGAATCAGCAAAGCAGCAGGCAAACAGTATGTAGCCCAAAAAACTAAATTTTCCAGCTCTAACACAGAGGGATATCGCACCATCTTAGACTTATCTCCACACTGGTTACGATCATATTCATTTTCCTTGTAATACATACATAAAAACTGTATGTCTATAGAATACTTCTTCTAGTAATGAACGTTATATCACTTTATCCTGTAATGAAAACTTAAAGCAGAACTTCACCCCACTGACTATTTTGAATCTTTGGGCTACTAGCACTAGCAAATAGATTGGAAAGCATATCTTGGTTTCCATGCCTAGGCAAATGAGCTCATACATCCCAGGAGTGGAGGAGGGGGTTTTCTTAGCTAAGCCCACCTTTCTTCCTGCATGCCTGAGCTAAGGGTAGATGAATTCCAGGACGTAAATTCTATACGAATCTTCTGCCTCGTTACAAGATGGACATAGCCAGAAATGCTAGGATGCATTTTTTAAAGTGATTTCTCAGCAAAGAGACATGGATGGATGGAGAAGTCTGCTTTGAATACTATAAATGAATTAAACAGCATTTTTAATTTATGGTGCTCAAATGCAGTGAAGTTCCACTTTAAGGTATATTTATAATCAAAACTTTGTTTTAGTTTTGGATAGCATAGAGAAGAATTAGAAACCCCAACATTTTTTTTTATTTCTGTCTATATCTAGGCAGATTTACCCTCGTTATTTGTCCTGGGGTCCGCTGTCACCAAGATGGAAAGTGATTAGAAATAAAAACGTATAAAAGTGTCACCAGAGCAAGAGATGATGGTAAAGGTTTCAATACGTATACCTGTTTTGGCGACATCTGTTTAAGAAAGGAGACTCTTTGTACCCTCACTTTGTAGAGACTCTCTCTTGCTTCCTGTTACATCACAAAGACAATAAGTCTTTGGAAGTCCTGGGGACTGCGGACCTGGGGCTGGGGAGTCCTGGGTCCTTGGGACAGCTGTCACCAAGACAGAAAGTGGTGAGCAATTCAAAATTATAAAATTTTCACCAAAGCTAGAGATAATGGTACATGTTTCAATAGATATACCTGTTCTGGTGACATCTGTATAGGAGGAGAGAATCTTAGTACTCTCACTTTGTGGAGGCTCTCTCTTACTTCCTGGTACATCACAGACAGGAAGTGAAAGGAAATCGCCCCAAAGGAACAAAGACAGCAGAAATTAAAATCACAGGAGTTTTAATCCTCTTATCTATCCAAAACTAAACATAAGAGTTTGGGCTTTACATTCACTTAAAAAAGGAGGGGAAAAAAAAAACAAACAACACATTTTAAAAGTATATGGGTGATAATAACTGGCCAGGAAACATACCTGTGGGATTATAACATCTGCTAATGATTTGGAAAGCTTGAAAAGCTCATCTGTTCCTTTAAGGGCAGCTACTGTTGTGCTGAACATCATACTTGACACAATCATAGATGTCGGGAATCTTGCTTATGTCATAACGCCCATTTTTCATGCGGAAATCTCTTTCTAACTTGCTCCATCGCTGTAACATCAGCTCTAGAGTTTCACTATGGTACAACTGTAGGTCTACAGACAAAATAAAATAAAACAAACCAGAGAACTACAATCACGTGAAGAAATAGGTAACACAGAGTGTATATAACACACCTTAACATTACCATAATTAGCAATATACCATTACACAGGTAGGAATTCTCTCATAAGCTGAAAAGTCCTATATTGATTCTAAAACTAGAGCAGAACTCTGTGAATGTAAAGCATCCCAATTGTTAATCTAAATTTCACTAAATACAGGTAAGCATAAACAACTCATTTGAAAATAACAAGAATTTGAAGCCCTTGCTCTACTGATCTAACAGTGCTGGGCATGGGAGAGCACATGACCTTCCCCATGTGACAGTGCTCCGGCTGAGCACACAATCATCAAGCCTGAACCTTGTCATACGTAGAAAAGGGGGCAAAAACATTATCCACCAAGGACACCATCCAAGCTTATTTTGGGTGGACTTTTGCAGGTGTAGTCTGTGAGGATTAGTGAGCATACCTTGCTGCGCATGTGGGCCATCATGAGACTATTTCACTTTGCTCTGAATGGCTAGGTGATGCTACCTATTTCACCTTGCTGGATGCTGTCATTTTGGACTGCTCCAGAGTACATCACTGAGAAATGAGATTTCCTACAGCTAGTAGCTCAAAGGGCACAGACTGGGATAATGAAATCAAGGGGATGATGTACTAAAACTGGAGAGTGCAAAATCTGATGCAGCTGTGCATGGTAGCCAATCAGCTTTTGACATCAGCTTGTTCAATTAAGCTGTGACAATAAAACCTGGAAGCTGATTGGCTTCTATGCAGACCTGCACTAGATTTAGCTCTCTCCAGTTTTAGTAAATCTACCCCTATGTGTGTCTGGTAGACAACGCTATAACCTTAAGATTGTAAAAAGATAAAAAGCAGGACAATGTATCCACCAAAACAAGAAGAGTGCTGACATATAGGACAGCATTGCAATCAGTAAGACAATTTTTTAATAGCAAAATTACCAAAGGTCAACAGACTGTTATGCATGTTTTGAAACAAAGGGATTTTGATTTGAACACTGCCCTTATTTTCTTCAGCAGTCAAATTTGTTTGCTAGGGAGTGCATTTTCATTTACATGATACAAAAGACACCGGTTTGCAAACATGACAGGTGTTCTTAATGCCCATGGCATCAGCCTCTTCCCTTCACTGCTAAGTTGGTTGGTACAGGCAACAGGTACTCATTTCTCTACCAGAAAACCAAATCAAATCAAGTTTTTTAAACTAGCAATGTAAAACTCCAGGTATTATTAATGCCTGATACATTTCACTCATGGATGACTTTACATCAATTTTAGAAACCAGTATGCAGTACCATAATTTGATACATCATACTCATTGTGTGACTGAGATTAAAGCCACTGTAATATGGGGAGCCCAGGATCACCTGCCAGTCGCTTGTAAAACTAAACAGTCTTTATTGTTTTTTCAAAATCTGGCAAACAAAACAATGCATAATTCTGGTGTATTGAAAATAATATAAATGGCTCGCCAGCCACCAATATACCAGTCCCACACCAGGCTTTAAAGGAGATATATAGCCAAAACTATTTTGCGAATCCTTCTCCTGTAGATCACAGGAGTGCAGTTTGTTCTGCACTCCTGTGACCTTTTTTCAGACGACAGCGGGCAAAATCCATTGCCGGCTGACGTCACTCAGACAGTCTCTGCTCTGAAAAAAATCTTAACCATATTGTCGGAATTCACCCAGAAGCCTGCGCTCGCCCCTAGGTCAGCCTCTCAGCATGCCGCCAAATCCTGAGCCAGCAACTCCAGCCCCATCCACAGCCCATCACTCCAGTGAGCACTGGAGCGGCAGAGCAGAGAGCCAGTGACCAACAGTCACAGATTTCTGCTCAGAGAAGTGGGGGTAGAACTGAGCGAGCAGCGGTGTTTGATCACTGTTCTCACTGCAGAGCCAGCGAGAAACAGATATAGCATTGATTCGATGATCTGCTCTCATCTCCACTTTAAACTGTATCTCCAGCAATGCATAGACCTCTGCTATCTCTGGGTAAATGCTGCATCTGCTCTCATCTCCACTTTAAACTGCATCTCCAGCAACGCATAGACTTTCTACAAATCTCAGAACAATTAGTGTATATATTTTGGTGTGTTTGTGGTGATTGATTCTCACCTCCTGTTGCACGTCTTTATGACTTTGGCCTGTGTCTGTGGCTGGTCTGTCTTTGAAAAACATTCCCCCCTCCAATTCATGTGATACTTATCAGTTCCTAATTGGGGCGCAGAAGAGTTGCTCATTTGACCATCTCCCTATAAATTTAGACCAGCTCATGGGGGGAGGTCACAGATGGGGTGCAGTTTTCTGCGTGAGTGTGTTTAATGCTGGAGTGGGAAGATGCAGTTGAACTAAAGCAGGATAACCTAAGCAGCAGGAATATACAACAAAGAACTCTACTTCACGCTGGACTGCAAGGAAGCACCCTGGGAAACATCTCCTACAAGTCTGATTGCCACTCCATGTACCTTTTTAATTTGCCACCTTTTCATATTACTATCCTGTGTTCCCAAAATCTCATCTCTTTACCCCTCTGCTCCACCTCAAAGCTTATACATCTCACCCTCACTGCTACCATCTCCCTACTACTGCTCTCATCACCTCCTTCTGATACTTTACTCACCTGCTGACCCAAACACCAGGACTGGAAAGCATGTGCACTCTCTTTCCTCCAGGAATAGCAGCAATCAGCTCAATTTAATATCAGTCCCCGTGCTCCCAAAGACCACCCTCCCTTTTTCATGTGCACTCTGGAATGCCCACTCTTTCTGTAATAAGCTCACCTCTGTCCATGACCTTTTTATCTCCTGCTCCCTTAACCTACTAGCAATTACAGAAACCTGGCTTCAAGCATCAGATTCTTCTTCTCCCGCAGCACTTTCCTATGGAGGCCTTCTCTGGACCCACTCACCCAGACCCAGTGGTCGGAAAGGAGGTGGGGTTGGTTTGCTTCTATCCACACTGAGCACCTTTCAAGTCCTCCCTAACTCTCCCTCTCTATCCTTCTCTTCTTTCGAGACTCACTGCATTCGGCTGTTTTCTCCCATTTCTCTGAGGATTGCAGTGATCTATCGGCCTCCTGGACCGGTGTCCCGCTTTCTTGATGATTTCTAAACCTGGCTACCCTACTTTCTCTCCTCTGAACTACCAACTATCATTCTTGGAGATTTTAACATCCCCATTAATGTGAATAACCCAGCTACATCCCAACCCTTCAACCTAACCTCATCTTTTGCCTTAACACAATGGACACAGTCCTCCACTCACTCTGATGGGAATACATTAGACCTTGTTTTCTCCCATCATTGCACTCCCTACAACCTCACAAACACCCCTTTTCCTCTCTCTGATCATAATCTCATCATCTTCACAGTGTCCTCATCTTCAAACACCTATCCCTCCAAGCAGCAAACAATTACCCGCAGAAACCTTCACAACTTGAACCCGGCTCCTTTCCACTCTGCAACTGTCCGCCTCTATGACAGAATCTCTCCCCTGTCCTGCCCTAACCTGGCCACTGCTGTCTACAACAGTTCGCTTCCATCTACATTAGACTCACTTGCTCCTCTAACAACACAAACCATCAGACCCCGACCATTACAACCTTGGCAGACTGACGACACCAGAAATCTTAAACGACATAGTTGTGCGCTGGAGCGATTGTGGCGTAAAACCAAATCTCACCAAGCTTTCACCCTATATAAATCTGCTTTCTTTACATACAATTCCTCTCGCCATGCTGCCAAACAAGCCTACTTTGTCACTCTTGTTAATACCTTGTCATCCAGTCCTCGTCGTCTCTTCTCCACTTTTAACTCTCTACTTTCACCACCTCCACTCAGTACCTCACTCACTGCTTACGAGATTGCAAATCATTTAAAAAACAAGATTGATGCAATTCGTAGGGGCATCTCCACCGCACAGACATCCATCCCACTTAGCATACCTTATACTAAACCTCTCTCAACACTTTCCTCTTTTGACCTTGCTACTACCGAAGAGGTCACTAAGGTTTTCTCAGAAGCCCGTCTCACTACCTCCCCTGGATCCTGTCCCCTCACAACTACTACGGTCACCCTCTTCTTCCATCCTTTGCGCCCTCACTCACACCTTCAATCTCTTCCTCTCTAACGGTGCCTTCCCCTCCCCTCTAAAGCATGCACACATCACTCCCATACTTAAAAAGCCCTCCCTGGACACCACCAACCTGAACAACTTAAGACCCATCTCCCTGCTCCCATTTACCTCGAAACTCTTAGAACGCTTATTCTACAATCGCCTGAGCTCCTACCTCAATGACAACAACCTTCTTGACCCTTTACAGTCTGGCTTTCACACACTGAACTGCCCTACTAATACTCACTAATGATCTACTAACTGCTAAAACCAATGGCCACTACTCCGTACTCTTGCTACTTGACCTCTCCGCAGCTTCTGATACTGTTGACCATCCCCTCCTCCTAAGAAAAACTCCACTCTCTTGGCCTCTGCGACTCTGCTCTCTCCTGGTTCTCCTCCTACCTATCGCAGCGCTCCTTTAGCGTTACCTATAACTCTGGATCCTCCTTTCCACTCCTTTCTGTAGGGTTCCCTCAAGGTTCTGTCCTTGGACCCCTACTCTTCTCCATCTACACCTCCTCCCTTGGTCACTTGATAAACTTATCTTTCTACTCCTCACCTCACCCCTTCAGTCTCTTCTCGCATTACTAACCTACTAAGCAACATATCGGCATGGATGTCACTCCATTTCCTCAAACTCAATCTTTCTAAAACTGAGCTCTTAGTATCCCCTCCAGCCCGTGCCCCCCTCCCCTGACTTCTCCATCAAGATCAATAACACAACCATCAGTTCCTCCCCTCATGCCAGGGTGCTAGGTGTAATCCTAGACTCCCTCTGTCCTTTCAGCCCCAAATCCAATCACTGTCCAAATCTTGTAGACTTCACCTCCGCAACATCTCCAAGATACGCCCGTTCTTAACCTCGGAAACTACTAAGCAACTTATTCACTCCCTTGTTATCTCTCGCCTTGATTATTGCAACTCCCTCCTCATTGGCCTACCTCATCGCAGGCTAGCCTCTCTTCAGTCTATCATGAATGCTGCTGCCAGACTCATCCACCTTACTAACAGTTCTGTATCTGCCATCCCTTTCTGCCAATCCCTCCACTGGCTTCCCATTTCCCAACGGATAAAATTCAAAACATTAACAATAACGTATAAAGCCATTTATAACTCTGCCCCAAATTACATCACCAATCTTGTCTCCAAATATCACCCAAACCGTACTCTTCGCTCCTCGCATGACCTCCTGCTCTCTCAAGCTCCCTTGTCTCCTCCTCCCATGCTGGTCTCCAGGACTTCCCCCATCCTCTGGAATTCTCTACCCCAATTTATCAGATTATCGCCTACTGTGCTCACTTTTAGGTGATCTCTAAAAACCTATCTCTTCAGGGAAGCCTATCCAGCCCTCAGCTAAAATTGAATCTTCTACTCCTCCTACCAGTCCATCCCCCACAGTTACTTCCTTTTGTACCACTAGCCCCTCCCTCTTAGATTGTAAGCTCCAAGGAGCAGGGCCCTCCTAACCCTCTTGTATTGAACTGTATTGTCTCCCGTTATATTGTAAAGCACTGAGCAAACTGTTGGCGCTATATAAATCCTGTATAATTATAATAATTTTACAGCATGTCCCTTTGAAAAAAACTTCCAGGACAAAGGCTCAAAAGTAGCTATCGAATGGCAGAAAGCAGGACAAATTTGGGAAGATTCTGGGAAGATTACACCTTTAAATAATACTCACTGAAGGAATATTTAATGCACACAAACATCATACCAAAGTTACAAAAATTACCACTGATGTCAGATGAGCCTGTCAAAATTATATTCATCCTCATTCTCGGCCGACAATTGTTCTATCTGTACAGAGCATAAGTTAGCATACGGTCCAAACAGTATTTGCTGCTATTCTAACAGTAATGAGAAAGAATAACAAAGTGCCCTAAAGATATATTTGTTGCATAAAATGTTTGTAAAATATGTTCCTGCTTGTTCATGTACAATCCCAAAAAGTGGTCCAATTAATGTAGTTTATGGCCAAGCTGACATTCTTGGTTTAAAAATTACCACAGCACCACCGAAAAAAAGTCATACACATCTGTGGTTCCTCAGATCCTTACTCTCTTACACATCAATGGCTGTGTCACATCTGGCACACCACCCAGCTGTGCTGGATGCCTAGGCTCCCCTGCCAGTTACAAGACAGGACACAATAGTGACATATGGGTCAGCAGAAGGCACCACAACGCCTGTCATAGGGCAAAGGTATGCGACACTTACAAAAGTGCCAAACATAGTTTTTCCTGAGCCTCTGCAGATCTTGAACAGAGCGTAGATTAGAGGAATGGGTGGGTAGGACACATCACTATAATTATTCTTCATTTGCAGGTGATGCTTTTTTCAACCAAGTGTCAGAGTCACTAAAATTTATAAAATGTTTCTTTTTTATGCAAAGACGGACTAGAAATATAGTTGTGCACTTATATTTCACCTGCAGATTTTGGATCCTCCAGACGCTGCTGGATCTGAGAAGTAAGACTTTCAATGAGGGAGAAGACTTGGTCACATATTTTCACTGGGTTCTTTATTGCTTCCATGGAGTTAAGCAAAGATGTGCTGCTAGTCGGGGCCAGCTTTAAAAGGTAACAAGAAAAGCAACTGAGAAAAATACAAACATATTATATTTAATGCTGACATTTATAGATAAGTAAACAAAAAAACTCAGGATGCACCCTTAGGCTTCTTTTACAATGGACACATACTTTACTGCCCTCTGAATAGTGATCTGTGGTGTAATGCTTTTCAGACTGCAGTTGAGAGCTGGTGTACAGACGTTCAGAAGGCAATGCCATCACGTTTCAAATACCTGCAATTTCTTCTTTCAATTCCCTGTAGGATCTTTTGACCATGATGGGTGAGTTTGACAGGTGGTCCCGTTAAAATAAAGCACATGTCCCTGGCAATGTAAATTCACCCCTCCAGCTGCCAGTTTGGAGGTGAGCAGTGAAAGGAAAGGTCTTCCCCCCCATGTCCCAGTGGTCTAAAGTCCTGACATCATCAAGACCAATGCATTGTCTATAAACCTGCATTGGACATGAAGATGCTAAAGGACAGTCCCCAGTTTGAGAATGGTGGAGCACTGTCTGCCAGGGAAGTGGAGGATGGAGTAAGTAAAAGTGCTTTATGCAGCCCCTAGACAAAACAAACGGTTAACCTTTGTAGTACAGGTGCAACCCTATTGCAAGGCATGGAGACGGCTTCTACAAACATTCGTGAAAGAATGGGTCGCTCTCAGGAGCTCAGTGACTTCAAGCTTGGTACGTGATAGGTTGTTGCCTGTGCAATAAGTCCATGTAAAATGACAGAGCGGGGTCAGCGCATGCTGAAGCGCACAATGCGCAGAAGTCGCCAACTGTCTGCAGAGTCAATAGCTAAACACCTCCAAACTTGGTGTGGCCTTCAGATTAGCATAACAACAGTGTATAGACAGCTTCATGGAATGGGTTTCCATGGCTGAGCAGCTGCATCCAAGCCTTACATCACCAAGTGCAATGCAGAGTATCGGATGCAGTGCTGTAAAGCACGCCACCATTGGACTCCAGAGAACACGTCTCCACTGCTCTAGTGGAGTGATGAATCACGCTTCTCTGTCTGGCAATCCAATGAACGTGTCTGGGTTTGGCAGTTACCAGAAAACGGTACTTGCCTGAATTTATTGTGCCAAGTGTAAACTTTGGTGGAAAGGAGAATTTTGGTGTGGGGTTGTTTTTAGGGGGTTGGGCATGGCCCCTTTGTTCCAATGAAGGGAAATCTTAAGATGTCAGCATAGCAAGACATTTTGGACAATTTCATGCTCCCAGTTTTGTGGGAACAATTTGGGGATGCCCCCTTCCTGTTCCAACATGACTGCGCACCAGTGCAAAAAATCAAGGTCCATAAAGACATGGTTGAGCGAGTTTGGGGTGGAGGAACTTGACTGGCCTGCACAGAGTCCTGACCTCAACACCTTTGGGATGAATTAGAGCAGAGACTTCGAGCCAGGCCTTCTCCTCCGACATCAGTGCCTGACCTCACAAATGTGCTTCTGGAAGAATGGTCAAACATTCCATTAACACACTCCTAAATCTTGTGGACAGCCTTCCCAGAAGAGTTGAAGCTGTTATAGCAGTTATAACATATTGAACCCTACAGACTAAGGCTGGGATGCCATTTAAGTTCATGTGCGTGTAAAGGCAGGCATGCCAATACTTTTGGCAATATATAGTGTATATCCAGTTAGGCCCATATATATTTAGATACAGGCACAATTTTAGTTTTTTCAGGTATTTACCAAAACATATTCAAGCTATAGTTATATAATGGATATGGGCTGAAAGTGCACACTCTCAGGTTTAATCTGGGGGTATGTACATCCAAATTGGAGGAAGGGTTTAAGAATTACAGCTCTTAAGAGTAGCCACCCCCCTTTTTTTTCAAGGGACCAAAAGTAATTGGACAATTGCATGTAATCATAAATAAAATGTTTCATTTTTAATATTTTGTTGAGAATCCTTTACTGGCAATGACTGCCTGAAGTCTGGAACCCATGGACATTACCAAAGACTGGGTTTCCTCCTTTCTGATGCTTTGCCAGGCTGTAACTGCAGCTGTCTTCAGTTGTTCTTTGTTTGTGGGTCTTTCTGCCTTTAGTCTTGCCTTCAGCAACTGAAATGCATGCTCAATTGGGTTGAGATCAGGTGATTGACTCGGCCATTGCAGAATATTCCACTTCTTTTCCTTCAAAAGCTCCTGGGTTGCTTTTTCAGTGTGTTTTGGATCATTGTCCATCTGTACTGTGTAGAGCCGTCCAATCAGCTTTGCTGCATTTGGCTGAATCTGGGCTGACAGTATATCTCTAAACACTGTATAATTCATCTGGCTGCTTCTGTCACATCATCAATAAACACCAATGACCCAGTGCCACTGGAAGCCATGCATGCCCATGCCATCACACTGCCTCCACCATGTTTTACAAATGACGTTGTGTGCTTTGGATCATGAGTTGTTCCAAGCCTTCTCCACACTTTTTTCTTCCCGTAATTCTGGTACAGATTATTCTTAGTTTCATCTGTCCAAAGAATGCTTTTCCAGAACTGGTTTGGCTTTTTTTAGATGTTTTTTGGCAAAGTCTAATCTGGCTTTACTATTCTTCAGGCTTATGAATGGTTTGCACCTTGTGGTGAACCCTCTGTATTTGCTCTCGTGAAGTCTTCTCTTGATTGTAGACTTTGACAATGATATGCCCACCTCCTGGAGAGTGTCCTTCACTTGTCTGGATGTTGTGAATGGGTTATTCTTTACCATAGAGAGGATCCTGTGATCATCCACCACTGTTGTCTTTTGTGAACGTCCATGCCTTTTTATGTTACTGAGCTCACCAGTGCGTTCTTCTTTCCTCAGAATGTACCAAACTGTTGATTTGGCTACTTCTTATGTTGCTGCTATCTCTCTGATGGATTTGTTTAGCTTTTGAAGCCTTACAATGGCCTGTTTCACTTGCATGGACAGCTCCTTTGAACGCATGATGTAGGTTCACAGCAATAGATTCCAAATGCAAATACTACACTTAGAATCAATTCAAGACCTTTTACCTGCTTAATTGATGAAGAAATAACGAAGGAGTAGCCCACACTTGGCCATGAAACAGCTTTTGATTCAACTGTCCAATCACTTTTGGTCCCTGAAAAAGGGGGGATGGCTACTCTTAAGAACTGTAATTCCTAAACCATTCCTCCAATGTGGATGTACATACCCTCAAATTAAACCTGAGAGTGTGCACTTTCAGCCCATATCCATTATAGAACTATAGCTTAAATATGTTTTGGTAAATACCTGAAGAAAAGCTAAAATTGTGCCTGTGTCCAAATATGAACCTAACTGTGTATATACACATATAAAAAAATATGATAAATAACTTTTTTCAACTGCATAAGTAGCTCAGAGAGCTGGGAAAGGAGAAACTGCACACACTAATCTTCCAAGATCATAGCTATGTGGGGGAGTCTGATCACTGGAAGAGTTACAGCACAATCAGAGATGTGACCACACTGTATTTGTGTGTCTAGTGTGGTCAGTTTTTAATAGGACAGCAGACTGGCAGGAACACCTGGGATTTCACATATATGAAGCAATGCAAAGGGAACACGATACTTTTTCATACAAGTACATGTTACAGCAGGCACTTTTGCGGAATAGGAAATGCTGGGTTTGAATATTCTTTAAGCGCTAATACTAAGTAATGTGTAAGTGTAAGATTTACAGGTATTTGAAACCTTTCACAGTACTCCTCTGGACCAATACCTCAATCTGCTTTTCTCACCAGAAGGACAGCACCATCCTGGTTCAGGCATCATCCAGAAATCTACTTTTCGGACAAAGCTGCCGATATACAGATGAGGCAATTACGTTAATTCTGACGGTGTTCACAAGGGTCTCACACAGATTAAGGTCCTCCTAATGCAGTCTCTAACCTGATCTCATCATTAAGGGATTCTTGAAAAATGATACAATTGCTGTGTACTATGATATGACAGAAATGTATTCAAGCCAACTTGTATGGTTGCCAAAAATTCCACTTTAATTCCATAATAATACAAGTTTAAAATGGATTCAGCTTGCGGACTACAATGTTACATTCCATGTGGTAGAACAACATGAAGGGGGATCCTACTTTCATCTAGTGAATGTCTGTACCCCTGTGCAAAGAAACTAAATGTTTAACAGCAGAATCCTGGAATTGCCTGTAGTGGTGCTGGTGATGCCATGAAGTTATTGGAATAAATAGTGTGTCAAATTGTGGGATGTAGCAGGTAGCAGAGACAAAATTGTGCTTATAAATTTATGCCTTACTAATGGCTAGTAAACACGATGAGAAAATCAGAAGAAAATGCTCTTTCTGACAACCAATCACGACTGTGCATACAAAAGTTTTCGAAGCAACATGGGAGAAAATTTTTCTCAGCAGAAAACAGATCTAATGATTATTGTATGATTACTAGGGTGCTCATACGAAAGAGTTAAGTGTACAAAGGAGCAGAGAAGAATGAACCAGTAGAAGAAAAGGGCAACTAAAACAAGTATTGTTTGCAATGAAAAATGTAATCAGACAGGGGAAAAAAAACAAAAATACGTAATGACATCACTTCTCATTGCATGGTGGCACTGTTAGCAATCCCTTTGAGTCCAATATGAGACTAGCATTCATAAAACAACAGGCAAACTTAGTGGTATTTTCTCATCGTGTGTATTAGCCATAAGACACTTTTTTTGTGTAAACAAAACAATTTATCCATAACGCATAATACCAGGCTACAGGTACCCTACCCTTTCTTGGTCATCCTCGGTGAATTCAGCATCCTTCTGCATAATCTCATGGAGACGAGCCTTCACTTTCTGTTGACAGCTGCTCAAAGAATCACTGTCACTGTCCAGGAGTCCGTTCATATTTGCACTCTTGACCATTTGAACCAGAATTGGAGTAAGCTCACCTTCCAGTGCTAAGAGACCCTGTAAACATTTTCAGTGTTAACATCACAATTAGAATTTTTTTTTACCAACATTGAACGTGAAACTTTGCATTTAAACTAATATAATCTGAGATTAACAAAAATGTTACTCCATTGAATGCCTGCAATTTTGAAGGGGTCTCACTTTCCCTGTTGAAATTTTCTTGATTACACTGGACAACAAAGATTTTGCTTCCTGAACATTTCTTGGTGTATCTTATAGATTATTGGCTGCTAATCATGAAAATGACCTTTAATTTACCCTATCATGTACTCTTATAGAATCTTCTGTTTTTGCAATACTTGTTGGCTGTACTGCATACATGAAGAAAACATACAGCACATCCAGTATGCTAAGTACAACTGTAATATCTGGAGGTCTAAAGTAGTGGCTCTGTTGCATGAAATGCAGCTCGGATATACCAAGTTCTGTTACACGTGTGAATGGGACAGCTGTGCAAGACAGTCAAACTGCATTTAAAAAAAGGAGCACTCCAGGGATCAAAGAAAAAAGTAAGCTTTACAACAGTGGTGTAAAAAGGGTTAAAAATATACCTACTTTACAGTGTATGGCCAAACATTTGTGGACATAGTGTATAATCGATAAATTATATGTCGTATGCAGTTAATCACTAGCTTCAATAGCAATATTTACAGTAGAACTATATGCATAAAAAAAAATGTTTTTCATTTTGGATAGCCCCTTTTTTCCATCTGTGTCACCATTGGGGAGATTTACTTTCACTTCCTGTCCCATAGCCACAACAACAAGTGGAAAGAAGTCCCTGCAAATTAAGGGAATCCATTGGGGCCCCCAGGTGACCAGAACTAGTGTCCCCATTGGAAGATTTCCCCTCTATTACTATTGTGAGGTCAACCTAAAATTTGGGATTTTCTTTTACTTTTGATGAAAATGGTAAACAGGACAAATAGAGAAGATGAATCTCCCTAACACGGGCACAGACAACAATAAAAACTGACAGGATTTCTAACTATCTCCATCCTATCCAAAACTGAAAAAAGTTCTAACTTTCAATATACTTTAACATATACAGTACACCAACGTGTCTGATGTTTTGGCTTCATTTAAAAAACATTTCTAAAAACCATTTGCAGTGGACATGCACTGCAGATTAACTACTTGAGAACCATGATTTACCTGAATGACAGAACCCCCCCCCCCCCCCACCACCAAAAGAAAAAACTATCTGAACCAAAAAAAAATTATAAAAATTTAATTTGGGTACAGTGTTCCATTACCGCACACTTGTCAAATGTGACAACAGTGAAAACTAAAAATTGGCCTGGGCAGGAAGGGGGTGAAAGTGCCTTCAAGAGGTTAATGAACACCACTCCTCACTTTTTACAAATTTTTTATTGTCAGTATAATCACCTTTGCAAAAGCTGCAGCAGTCATTTGTACTCGACCCTCATCTGACGCATAAATCTTGAGGTCATGACGGTAAGTGCTGTGAAGTCGCAGAAGTCCACAGCCTGGAAATCCTGCATAATCTCCTGCAATTTATTAGCAAAGTCATTACTTATAAACATAATCAGTTAGTGGTATTTTACAATTACAAAAGTTACAGTTAGTTTTTTGAGCAAGTACAGCTAGTCCATTTAAGCCAAGTTCCTTGATTGACAATACTTAGACCATAACAAAAATACAAAACAAAATGCATCACATGAAATGAAACCAAATTGAAACTGGGAATGGATCTCTGCTAAACACAATGCTGTAAAAGGGCACTTAGAAGTCCTACACATTGGGGTGGATTTACTAAAGGCAAATAAACTGTGCATTTTGCAAGTGAAGTTGCACTCATAAATGTAAATATGGTAAAGCTTCACTTTGTAAAGAATATTCAATTAGATGCAAGGACAACAAAAAACAGCATTTTTCTTACACAATTGGAAGATGGAAATCAGCAGAGCTTTGCCACATTGCGATTGTAATGAGTGTAATGTGGGGTACACACAAGAAGTTTTTTTTAGTTCAACCCAGCAGGCAAAAAAAAAACTGAAAGATTGCTGTACTAACACAAGCAATTGTATCCTAACGGAAGGACTGCCCCCACCAGAACCCACTGATCAGCATTGACAGCCGCTGGTTGCCAATGCTGATTGGATGCCAGTCAGATGCTGGTTTTATAGCATACTCACTCAGCCGAAGCCGGTCCGTAAGACCAGCTTCTGTAAAACAGACAGCTGAACATACGGGGCAAAAGTCACCCAGTTCCTGCTGAACCGACCGCTTTCGGTAAACCTTTGGCCCATGTGTACCAGGCTTTACAGCACTTGCAAAGTGCACAGCCTTTAGTAAATAAACCCCACTATCTTTGAAACAGAACTATAGGTAACACATTTTTTTAATTCTGGACAGAGTAAGGGAGGGATGTAACCCGTCAGAATTTTTTTTTTTTTTGGCATCTGTGTCCCATTGGGGAGATTTCCCTTCACTACCTGTCCCAAAGCCAAAGGAAGTGAGAGGAAATCCCTGCAAATTAAGATAAATCCTTGGGGACCCCCAGGTCAGACCTAGTGTCTCCATTGGAAGATTTCCCCTCTATTACTTTTCTGGGGACAACCCAAAATCTGGGTTTTTCTTTCTCTTTCACTGATAATGATAAACATGACAAACAGAGAGGAGGAATCACCTTAATAGGGGCACAGACAACAATAAAAACTGACAAATATTCTAATCCCTCTACACTCATATATATATATATATATATATAAAAAGTTTTGCCTTTAGTTAAACGTAAATCCTGTAGATGATGTTGAGGGTGATGGAGGAGTGGAGTGCAGCTAGTTTGCTAATCTGTCTATTGTTGATGTCTGCGTCTTGTAAACTGTATTGGTTCCCCATGTCTCGTATTTTGCAAAACTCAACACAGAATCTCAATACAGAATTTATATTAAAAAAATATATATATAATGCTGCAGAAATACTGGAAGCGTGATTGTTTTTAGCAGGACCATGGCAAGAGTTTCAGAGATAGAGAGAGCCTTCTGGAGCCCCCCCATATGCTCAACTAACATCCAACCAGAAAATCTTCTCAAAAACAGTACAAATGATATTACTTAGTCTTAGAAATACCCCAAAAAGAGTTTTAGGCAGGCACAAAGTAATATGGTATTGTCAACACCACATGTTGTTTAAACAAAGCCAATTATTACACAGAGGATAATAACTGTAAGATGTTAAAGGCAACACAGATAAGAGTTTAATGATCTTTGAGGACAACTTCTCCAGAGCTTCTCCTTCACCTGGCCTTGTCCCAGGCTAAGCAGATTTTGGACCACAGTGTTTAGAATTCTAAGCATCCTATTCACCTGTCCTTTTCCTATGGACCCTTGGCTTGCACTTTGCCACCTTTAACCTCCCTTTCTTATTAAATCGCAATTCAAGATAACTATGTGTATAACTCTAGCGGCCACATCTCTCTCCTCTTCCCTCTACCCCTCATGTGGTGTCTCTCTCTCTAGGCTCACTTCTCGTTGCTCTAGGCTCTTCTTGACTTCTCACATTTATTCTCTATTTTCTCTACAACTGCAAAAAGAGTGCTTCGTGGATCACAGATCCTCTATATACCACTTAACATTTGCATGAAATTATTTCAAGTAAAGATGAGTACATGGTATCTACAATCACTCTTGTTCCATATTAAAATTATCAACGGTGAATAATATCAGTATGTGACTGCAACTTTATGATTAATGAAAGTTCAAAAAGTGTTAATTGACCTGAGCCCGCTTTTGATCAAGCGATGTGTACGAGAGCCTCGGCTATCCCGGGTCTCTCTCTCTCCTCATTGGCTGAGACACCATGGCTCTGTGTGTCTTATGGACGCATAGAGCGAGGCTCAAGCGTGGGCAATGGTCAAGGGGGAGAGTCCCGAGTAAGGTGGACAGAGAAGAAGAGGATTGGGGCTGCTCTGTGCAAAACTATTGCACAGAGCAAGTAAGTAGGACATGTTTGTTATTTAAAACAAAAAACAAATCTTTGGGATCACTTTAATTTGCTAGTCAAGTCTATTTAAATCTGTGAGTGCATCCAACAATACCCATTACCCATACGGCCAATGTTGCTATCCAAAGGTGTCTCCATTGCTCAGTCAGTGAAGTGGAGTCCCCATAAGACAGGAAGTGTGTTACTGGCCAGATCACCAGGTGAAAATATAGGTGAAAAAAAGGAACATAAATGCAGCCACCACATTTAAGGATTCTTAAACTGCAATACATAAAATGTTTATTTTTGGGTTTAATATGGTTTTAGTTTTGTAAAAAACACTGTGCAAATATATGGCACTATATCAATCCTATACAATAATAATAAAAAAATTAATAACCTAAAGCTAAAAATTTGGCTGTAGAGGAGTTAAAATGATCCTATATTTAAAATGCAGCTCTATAAAATGTATTAGTAGTATGGTTCATCAACCTATAACTTATAGTTCTAAAACTAATAAACCAAATGTCAAACGAATAAAGGAGGTTGAGGAATAAGGGAGAAATCTGAGAATTGCAGAAGATATATTATAGCCACACATATTGGCATGGAAAATGTTTTTGGGCCCAGCATGTTGCCTGAACAATTGTGGACATAAGGTTTCCCAGCGTTGCAAAACATGTTACATGGGAGTATAGCTACACTGCTGAAAAAAATTAAAGGAACACTTTGAGAGCACATCAGATCTCAATGGGGAAAAATATCATGCTAGATATCTATACTGATATGGACTGGGTTATGTGTTAGGAACCGAAGGATGCCCCACTGCTTGATGGAAATTAAAAAATGATCAACCTACAGAGGACTGAATTTAAAGACACCCCGAAAATCAAAGTGAAAAAATTACACAGCAGGCTAGTCCATTTTGCTGAAATTTTATTTCAGCAACTCAAAATGGTACTCAGTAGTTTGTATGGCCCCCACGTGCTTGTATGCATGCCTGACAACAATGAGACAACGGATGATGTCCTGTGGTATTTCCTCCCAGATCTGGACCAGGGCATCACTGAGCTCCTGGACAGTCTGAGGTGCAACCTGGAGACGTCGGATGGACTGAAACATGATATCCCAGAGGTGTTCTATTGGATTTAGGTCAGGAGAGCGTGGGGGCCATTCAATGGTATCAATTAATTGCGTACTCTCGCCACATGAGGCTGGACATTGTCGTGCACCAGGAGAAACCCAGGACCCACTGCACCAGTGTAGGGTCTGACAATGGGTCCAAGGATTTCATCCCGATACCTAATGGAAGTCAGGGTGCCATTGTCTAGTCTGTAGAGGTCTGTGCGTCCCTCCATGGATATGCCTCCCCAGACCATCACTGATACCACTAAAACGGCCTTGCTGAACGATGCCAATCAAGCTCCATGGTGCCGAGCAGTGAGCACAGGGACCACTAGAGGATGTCAGGCCCTCAGGCCACCCTCATGAAGTCTGTTTCCGATTGTTTGGTCAGAGACATTCACACCAGTGTCCTGCTAGAGGTAAATTTGTAGGGCTCTGGCAGTACTCATCCTGTTCCTCCTTGTACAAAAAAGCAAATACCGGTCCTACTGAAGGGATAAGGACTTTGTACGGCCCTGTCCAGCTCTCCTAGAGTAACTGCCCATCTCCTAGAATCTCCTCCATGCTCTTGAGACTGTGCTGGGAGACACAGCAAACATTCTGGCAATGGCACGTATTGATGTGCCATCCTAGAGGAGATTGGCTGCCTGTGCAACCTCTGTAGGGTCCAAGTATCGCCTCATGCTACCAGTAGTGACACTGACCCTAGCCAAATGCAAAACTAGTGAAAAACAGCCGGAAAAGATGAGTAGGGGAAAAAAAAAATGTCAGTGGCCTCCACCTGTAAAACCATTCCTGTTTTGGGGTTTGTCTCGTTGCCCATCTAGTGCACCTGTTGTTAATTTCATTAACACCAAAGCAGCTGAAACGGAGTAACAACCCCCTCTGCTACTTAATTGACCAGATCAATATCCCAGGAGTTTAATTGACTTGATGCTATACGCTGATTAAAAAGTGTTCCTTTAATTTTTTTGAACAGTGTATATACTGGTAAGCCTTCAACATCCTTTAATTTCATTATTTACAAAGAATATATCCTAACTTGGTAAAGCTGAATTCCAGGTATGTATATTTTTGCACAAGAACATTAGTCGAGCTTGGACTAATGTAATTATGCATATGTCATACCTAGAAGATAATAGTAGTCAATCATTTAGTAAGCACTGCTACGATGACTACAGCTAGCTTTCGGGATGCCAACCAGACATGACATGACCTCCCCAACTCTCGTCCAATCAGTGAGTGCTTTGCATTCATTGAGAAAATACAAAGTGTTCTCTGAATGGCGCCCAAGCTAAGTGAGTGATCTCCTGTGTTCACCAAGTTGCAGGACAGCCGCTTGGCACGGGACCTGGAAGCTAGTGGTGACCACTGTAGTAGCGATGCCTACTAGACATGTGCGATACATTTCATTACGAATTGAAATTTGTGTGATTTG